AGAAAAGGCAAATCGAATCTATAGTGACAGCAGATCACTCATTGCCTGGGGCCAGAAAGGGGAGTGGAGAGGGGAATGAGTGGGAGGGGACATGAGGGAACTTTCTGGGCAGATGGAAACCATATTGTGATAGGGTTTGGTTACATGGGTTTAGTCATTCCTCAAAGTTGTACAGCTAAGATTTGCGCATTCCAATGTATATACATTTTACATTGAAAATGGTTTAAAGCATAATAATCAGGCATGGGGTGGGGAGTGGGTAGAGGTAAAGAAGAAATAAAGATTACAGAATGTTAATTGTTGAAGCTAGGTAATGTACATGCTTGAAATTTTCCATAATAAAAAAAAATTGAGAAGAAAAAAATCATTTACCTGTAATGTTCCTGCTTCTCTCCACCTTCTCTCTAGAGCCCTTGCACATCCGTGTCCAATTCTCCCTGGCCCCTGGGCTCCCCTCTCGCAGACCCCAATTCCTGAGTGAACTCTGCTTCCTGCCAAGGTCCACCGCTCAACTCCTTTCTGCTCTGCAACTCCCCATCACCAACCAAGCCCCAACAACCATCAGGCATTTTTGCCAAGCCCCGTCACACCCAATAGCTCACAACCTGTGTAAGGTACTGGGAAACAAGAAGTTTTGCAGCTTGCTTTGCAGAAGTTCAGTCCTCTCCCACCTATATTATTTGACCATGATTTAAATGGTCTGATTTAAATCATGTCTCAAAGCACCTGTCTCAAAGCCTGATACATAGAGGGCTTTAAAAAATAGTTTACAGTTTGCATTCCAAAAATATGTTTGTAAGCTGACCTCTGGGAACCAAAAACACATTTTATCCCAGTAACTAACAATATACAGCCAATAACATAGTGGGCCAGCTCACAAATATCCATCTCCCCTAAAATGCACTCAAGACTCAAGCAGCAATGCCTCAATTAAATGCTGCAGGTGCAATGCTTCTCTTATCAGTCAGCCCACATGACTAAGAGATGAGGAAAGTTCCAGGTTCAATGCTGAGTCAGTAGCAGTAACAGCAGCTCAAAAGGAAGGAGGCTCAGGGAAGGACCCCCATGGGCAAGCCAGCAGCCAGGTCCAGCAGAGGATAGTGAGGTCTAGCTAGGGACTCATGTGGTTTGGTCCCTGCAAGTGAAGTCGTTGCCTGGGCCTGAGCACACCAAGCCCCTGTCTCCAACTGGGAGGGACGGGGGTGGGGAGAGAGGGAGCCGGCTTCTGAGTTACAATCCCATCTTTAATCTTCTACTCCACTTGTTTAAAATAAAAATCGCATTTATATTATAGAAAATATACATTATAGAAAATGTGTACAAAAAGAAAAAAAACAGTATTCCCAGCACACAATTCAAACTACTGTTTCCATTCCAGGGTGTCCAGTGTGAGTTTTTCTAGTCTCTTTCTAGTCTCACTGAGGAGAAAGGTTCAGACCCAGAAACGTGTCATTAGGATGTTATTTCTTAATAAAATCACAATTGCACTATATCTATACCTGGCCACCATCTTCAACGTGGTTTCTATAGGAATCCGCATTCTAATTTCCTTTTGAGGACACCAAACAAGTACTGCTTCATCTCAACAGGAGAAACCAGGTGTCATCTGTGTCCACTGAGAATTACTCTTTTTTTTTTGCAGGGCAAGAGTCCCCCTAGGCTAACATCTGTTGCCAATTTTCCTCCTCCCCCCCCCCCAATTAATATGAATTATCACATGACCCAGCAATTCCACATCTGGGTATATACCCAAAAAAGTGAAAGCAGAAACTTGAACAGATATATATACACCTATGGTCATTACAGCATTATTCACAATAGTCTAAAGGTAGAAAAAACCCAAATGGCCATCGACAGATGCATGGATTAACACAGCACGGTATATGCATACAGTGGAGTTTTAGCCTTTAAAAAGGACATTCTGGGGGGCCGGCCCAGTGGCGTAGTTGTTAAGTTCATGTGCCCCACTTCGGCAGCTCAGGGTTTGCAGGTTTGAATCCCAGGCACAGACCTACACACCACTCATCAAACCATGCTGTGGTGGCATCCCATATACAAAATAGAGGAAGATGGGCACAGATATTAGCTCATCTGGCTAATCTTCCTCACGGAAAAAAAAGGACATTCTGATACGTGGTGGAAGACAGATGAACCATGAAGATTATGCTAAGTGAAGTAAGCCAGACACAAAAAGACAAATACTGTAGGATTCCACTTATATAAAGCATCTAGAAAAGGCAAATTCATAGAGACAGAAAGTAGAGCAGTAGTTACCAGGGGCTGGGGGAGTGAGGAATGGCAAGTTATTGTTTAAGGGGTACAGAGTTTCTGTTCGGGATGATGAAAAAGTTCTGGAGATGGATATTGGTGATGATGGCACAATAGTGCAAATGTACTTAAATGCCACTGAAATGCATACTTAAAAATAGTTAAAACGGACCAATTTTTTTTTTTTTTGCTTGAGGAAGGTTTGCCCTGAGCTAACATCTGTTGTCAATCTTCCTCTATTTTGTATGCAGGTTGCCACCACAGCATGGCTGCTGAGGAGTGGTGTAGGTCCATGCCTGGGAACCAAACCCAGACCACCAAAGCAGAGCACACAAAACTTAACCACTAGGCCACTGGGGCCAGCCCAAAAACAGGCCAATTTTATGTTACGTATTTTACCACAATTTTTAAAAAAGCCAGTGAGATGCTCCCGCACCTCATGGCCCATAGCAGTTTTCTTTCACAACAGCATTCACTTGTTCTTGCTTAGGTTGAAGGCCTGCCTGTGACTCTTCTGCAGCCCATCAAATCACCCAGGCACTGGTGACACATAAGCTCCAATTTAGACCCACACAGGACCTCAGAAAACTGCACAAGGAGATGGAAAACACAATCCAACCCAGCCTTGACTTGTTATGAGCACAGGAGATAGGAAGTGCTTGAATTTCACAGCTGCGATCTTCCCTAAAACACACGTGAACACTTCAATAGTTCCCCTCTCCAATATGCATTTTTCTAGAACAGCACTGTCCAGTGGGACCTTCTGTGATAAGGAAAATGCTCGCTCTCTTCACTGTGCCTGTTGAGCACTTGAAACGTGGCTAGTGCAAATAAGGAACTATTTTATTTCATTTTAACTAATTTAAATGTAAATAGCCACCTGTGGCTAGTGGCTACCACAATGGATAGCACGGTTTTAGAACAGAGATAGATTCATATCTTTTTGGTGAAGATGCCAAAAAGCTGTGAGTGGTAGGGATCAGGAAGCCAGGAAAGGTGGTGGGGGGCTTGTCTGTTTAATCCATAAACCCACTTATTGGAGGTGGATATATGGCTACATATATCCTTTGTCAAACCTATGAAAAGAACTTATTAGTTACAATGATGTACTGAGAAATGATTTACTCAAGACTAGGCCAAGGTCAACCAAAGGAGGTACATGGTGCAGCTGAAAATTCTAGGCAACCTGGACCCGGGGCAAGTACAAGTGACGTGCCTGCTGTGTAGCTCTGGAATTGAAAGCCCAAGATTTCTAACTGACTGAATCTTCAACCCCCACCAGATGGAAGGGGTCCTGTTAGTAGATGGAGGTTTGTTTTACACACACACACAACCCCACCCAAGAGAAGCAAAGCCACTGCACACCAGTTTTTCAGAGTTGGCACCAGCAGGCAGGAGGCTGCAGTTGTGCCTAATGGCAAAAGGGACATTTGACCGTTCAGGGAAGAGTCTGTTCAAACTCCAATTTCGGAGGAAAATGAATAGAAGTCAAGAAAACAGAGTGGTTCTGGGTGAAGTGGGCTCCTGAACAACTTTTATAAAAAGATGTTGTGCTGAGGAGTATACTAGAGTGGTCAGAAATGTCAAGAGACTGTTTTCAATGGGCCCAGCTGCCACTTGTTTGAACAAGCCTGACACCCCGCCCCCCTTCCAGCTGGGGAGGATTTGCTCTGCAGAGAACAGATCCATGTTACCTCTGGCAAAGAAAAGATAGTAATAAACCTAGCTTACTACCTCAGCATGGTGCAGCCAGTGTCTTAAAGAAACTCCCCATTTACCCTCTCAGATGCTTCTAGGTTTAGGGTAGGCACTGCTACTCTCTTTTGACCAGTGGAGAAACCAAGGCACAAGGACTCCCAGGTAATTACTGTCTCACATACAACACTCGTGAATGTCACCCAAGTGCCAAAGGATTGTCACATAGAGTCTAAAGGTTTGATAAGGAAAGCAGCCAAGCAACAACACTCCATTCCACACCTGGAGAAACTCTTGCCAACCAAAAGTATTGATTTTAAAGCTAGATTCTCATGGCACGCTTATTGCAGTGAGCTTAGAGATCTAGCTTCCCATTCCAGCAACGAAAGAGACCCTGAACCCCTGCGCATTATGGGATAAAATATATCTGTCACAGGGGTGGTAGAGCACAGCCCCACTGTCAAGGTGTGTTGGGGGGCGAGAATTAAAGTGTGCAAAAGAACACTGGGGCATTTCTAAGAGGCATGCCCCCCACACACATCCACACACTCAGTTGTAACACGGATTCCCACTCGTGGCTGCAGAATGGAATCACCTGGGAAGCATTTAACACTCCTGAGGCCTCAGATTCTGATGTGGTTCCTCTGGGATAGTCTGGGCATGGGGAGTTTTCAAAGGTCCCCAGGTGATTCTAACGTGTAACCAGGGCTGGGATCCACTGCTGCAAGGGACATCCAGGAATGAGGAAGTAAAAGTTGGAAAAGTGGTGGGGAGGAGGGGGGGGGGGCTGTTTCTTGGGTCACCTGATGTCTAAGGAGAGTGAAGAATAAAGAGGTCTAAATGCCAGTGTCCTCTTTTTTTTTTTTTTTTATCTGTAAAATGGTACAATGCTACCTACTCTCCCCTCCCCAAAAGGTAGGCTGGTCCCGTGGAGTCGGGGGAGTTGCTAGGATGGGGAGGGGCCGGTGCCATGGCACGTGCGAGGGTAAGGAAAGCAGGCAGGAGTGGGGTGGGGGCGAAGGGGGCACCCGCCTCACCTGCGTCGTAGAAGGCGTCGAGCACAGCCGTCTCCCCGAAGTCGAGCTCCCCGAAGGGCACGGAGGTGAGGTGGGCGCCCTCGGCCTCGCAGGCCCGCAGCAGGCACTGCCGCGCCCCCGCCTCGGGGCCGCCGGCCGGGCCGCCCTGGGAGCTTTCGCTGCGCACGTATACCGCCCGCAGAGCCCGCCGCGGCCCGCCCTCGCTCCCGCCCCCCACGCCCTCGGCCGCCCCGTCGGGCTCCGCCGGCCCGGCCGCGCCCTCGCCTCCCGGAGGCAGCGGGACCTGTGGAGACTCGGCCGCCGCCCCGAGCGCCCCAGCAGGGGGAGTCCCGCCGCTGCTCTCCATGTGGCCGCCCTGCGCGCCTTTCCTTGGTCCCACCTCCGCGCGAGTGGCTGGCGGCTGCGATCGGCTGAGGGCCACAAGCAGTCGCGGCACCTGCTCCTGGGGCGCGGGAGGGAGCTGGGGGACCAGCGCGCGCCGGTGGCCCCGCGGCTGGCAGGTGACGACGAAACCCCCACTCTGCAGACAGAAGCTCGAGCCCCGCAGCCCCCGAGCGCCCTTTGAAGGCCGGTGAGAGAGAGGCGGGGGCGAGGGGAGGTCTGGGAACGGCGTCGGGGCAGGAGCGGGCAGGGCGCCCCCTGCCGAGCCCCCTGGGCAGCGTCCCCAGAAGGGCGGTTTCGTGCACTGTAGGATTTTGTTGTTGCCATCCCCTCAGCCTGACCAACGGTAGGAGCCCCAATTTCTTTTTTCTCAAAACAATTTGAGGCTTTTCAAGCAGAGTTAAAAACTCTTTCAAGGCAATGCTTGGACATAAATATTCAATTCCAAACTAAATACGGAAGTGGTTTTAGCCAGAATTGAGATGAGCAGATGCTTATTTAGAATGCCTGATTTTGCATTTCTTGTCCCCAGTTGCCAAGAGCATGGGCCTCCTGAGGCCAGTTCTGGAGGCCCGCTCTTCCTGACTTTCACTGTGACCTTGACAAAGCACCAGGATGCCCCACCAACAAACTTGGTTTAAACAGACTCCAAGGAGGCTGTCTGCTCGACCTGTGCAATACTATGAGCCCAAAGGGATCTTTACCCTAGATCTTGCCCATCTCACGATTTTAGGCCCAAATATTAAAAAGTAGTATTAGCACTGCAGGTAGTACCTGGATTTAAAAGATAGGATGCACTAGACGTTGTTGCAAGGTTCTTGGGTTTTGTTTTTTCATTTTTAATAAGTTTTATTGAAATATAATTCACAAACCATGCACTTCACCCATTTAAGTGGTTTTTAGTACATTTACAGAGTTGAGCAGCCATTACCACACTCAATTTTAGAACATTTTCATCATCTCCCCCCAAAACCCAGTACCCATTAGGAGTCACTTTCCATTCCCTCTCCCCAACACCCCTCAGCCTCAGGCAACCACCAGTCTACTTTCTGTCTCTGTAGATTTGCCTATTCTAGACATTTCATATAAATGGAATCATACGATGTGTGGACAGAGGTTTTCATTCGTCTTGGTTATAGACCTAGGAATGGGATTTCTGGGTCATATGGCAACTCTATGTTTAACCTTTGGAGAAACTGCCACTGTTTTCCACAGCAGCATCACCATTTTTACATTCCTACCAGCAGTGTCTAAGGGTTCCAATTTCTCCACATGCTCACCAACACTTGTTATTGTCTTTTTGATTATAGCCATCCCAGTGGGTATGAAGTGGTACCTCACTGTGATTTTGATTTGCATTTCCCTAATGACTAATGATATTGAGCATCTTGTCATGTGCTTATTTGCTATTTGTATAACTTGTTTGGAGAAATGCCTATTCGGATCCTTTGCCCATTTTTTAATAGGGTAGTTCTCTTTTTATTATTGAGTTGTAAAAGTTTTTTATATATTGTGGCTACAAGTCCCTTATCAGATATGTGATTTGCAAATATTTTCTCCCATTCTGTGGACTGTTTTTCAATTTCTTGATGGTGTCCTTTGCAGCACATCACAAGCCATTTTGACACAAGCAGAATAGGACTTAACCTTATAAAACAATTTGGCTTCTCTTCATGTTTCAGTAATAATACAGCCCATCCCTCCACCCCACCCCGAAAAGAAAGCAGAAACTGCCAATATAATTCTTTGAAGAAATTGTGCCCTAATTCCAGTAGGGCAGAATTCCTAATTCCTGGTAGAAATTAGGAACTTCACAAGTGACATCAATGTGCACCTTATTTTGTGGCCAGTAAATGGAAAATGGGCTCTGAGGAAATCTGCAAAAACACACAGACCAGAGTTGGGAAGAGCAAAGCTACGGAAAACTTTCAACACCTCTGTTCTAAGGTTTTTTTTTTAATATGATGCTATAAAAGGACACATTTTCTTTGTAACCTTGTAATGCATAATAATAGTAATTTCCCTAATGTGCCTGTTTGTCTGAGATTATTCCAATGACTGGCACAGCCTTCAGAAGGACAAAGATGCCCATTGCACAATCGCTTGCCAGTGTCTTGCTGTTGTCCCCCACTTCAGTCTTCCCACATTCCTTCCAGCTCTCACTGGGGCCCCGCTGACTAGACACACAGGAGTTGTGAATTCTGGCTTGAATAGTATCTGCCTCTGAACACAAACCCTGCTGAGTAAAGAACCCAGTATTTAATCAGCTAATGAGCGCCTCCCCCACAGTTGGCGCACACAGCCACCTTCTCATTGTCTCCAGTAATTTGCACACCTGAAACATGCCCAGCCCCTTCTCCCAAGGTCCTTCCTACCTCCCCGCCAGCCCCACTGAGGAGAAAATTGCAAAATGCTGGATTAGTCTTTTCTGTTTAGTTGAACAATTGTTCTGTTCTTACCCCTGCCTTTCCCCTTACTAAGTGCATGTCCTGAAAACCACTTTGCCCCGACGCAGAGATGTCATTTGGACTAGAACAGTGGATCGAAAAGTAGAGTGGAGGCCCTGTAGCTAAAGAGTAAGATTAAATCTAGGCGTTTTTCTCGTTTATTTTATTTTAGGCTGGTTACTCATACCAATTGTGGTCAAACTAGTTAGTTCTTTGACTCATTCAATGTTGTAAAAAATATTTTAGTTACCATGCAATTGGCAGCTTCATTACTTTTTTCATTGTACCAAAGGGAGCAAATAGTGACAAAAGAGAAACAACCATGTTGCACAATATTATACGTATTTGGTGGAAAAACTGACATACAGTAATTCAACAAGGATTTATAGAGTACCTATTAGGTCAGGCACTGTCCTTCGTGGTGACAATGTCATAGTGAACAACACAGCCAAAGTCCCTGCTATCATGTTAGATACAGGTGCTGAGATAGATAGATAGTTATGGATATGGCTATAGACCTGTGTATAGATGCTATAAATATTGTATGGACATAGATTATTGTAATCTGCCATAAAATACAAGAAAAACAAACTGGATGGATGAAACTCATAAGAAGTATTAAGCAGACTGTATATAAAATACTCGCTTATTAAATATGGGTGAAACTCATAGGATGTTTTAAGTATACATAATGAATAAGTAGCTTGTGAGCAAAAGGTTGACTTCATAAGATGTATTAAAAATTGTAAGTTATTGGGGGCCAGCCCAGCGGCATAGCGGTTAAGCACGCATGCTCCGCTGTGGCAGCGGCAGCAGCCCGGAGTTTGCAGGTTCGGATCCCGGGCGCCCACTGACGCATCGATTGTCAAGCCATGCTGTGGTGGCATCCCATATAAAGTAGAGGAAGATGGGCACGGATGTTAGCCCAGAGCCAAGCTTCCTCAGCAAAAAGAGGAGGATTGGCATCGGATGTTAGCTCAGGGATGATCTTCCTCACACGCACACAAAAAAATTGTAAGTTATTTCCCTCTAAGACATACTACAGACAGAATATATGATGGAAAAAACAAGAGTGTTACTTATAGATAGATAGGGATGGAAAGACCAAGTCGTTAGGTATGAGCATGCAATCTCTGAACTGACAGTTATGTTGCCTCTAAATCGACCACCTATTGGTGACACCCAGTAGAGTCCCATCCTCATCCCACGTGTCCTCTAAAAATTCTTGAACATATGGAATATAGTTATAACTGTTTGAATGTCCTTGTCTACTATCATGTGTGTTATTGCTGGATCTGTTTCTATTAATTTTTCTCCTCATTTTGGGTCATATATTCCTGATTCTTTGCATGTCTGGTCATTTTTTATTAGATGCCACACATTGTGAATTTTACCTTAATGGGTTTTGCATATTTTTGTATTCCTGTAAATATTCTTGAGCTTTATTCTGGCACATGGTTAAGTTACTTGGAAACAGTTTGATCCTTTTCAGCTTTAAGTGAGATGGGAGCAGCCTTTAGGCTAGGGCCAATTAATCCCCTCTACTGAGGCAATACCCTCTGAGTACTCTCCCTGGTGTCCTGTGAATTATGATGTTTTTCCATTCTGGCCAGTGGAAACAGAAACTATTCAGGCCCTATGGGACCTCCAGGGATTGTTCCCTCTAATCCATTCAGGTGGTCTTTCCCCAGCTTCAGTCTAGTTTCTTCACACACAGGTGCTGGTCGGTACTCTGCTGAAGATTCCAGACCGACACATCTCTGGAACTATGTGCGGCTCTCTCCTCTCCAGTACTCGAACTGTAGCCTCTTTGGCCTCCTTCGACTTCCAGCTCCATCTACTCAACTCAGGAGATAACTGGGCTCCCCCTGGGTTCTCTTTCTCTGTTCTATGGCCTGGAAACTCTCATGAGGCAGTAATCTGGGTAATTGTGGGGCTCACTTTGTTTCCCATTCTCTGGGATCTCTGTCCTGTGTTGTGCTTGTATAGGACTTTTGCAACTTTTTCTGAAAAAGTCTGAAATTCTTTTAAGATGAAAAGACTTAAAAGTTTTAACATTAAAAAGAAAAGCACTACTCCACTCTCCAGTCTAGGCCTGCTACAGGCTGACCACTTATGGCAGAAAAAGGAGGAGCAAAATTGGCTGCTTCTCTCCTCTTCCACCTTGCTAGCCATCTCTCCAAGGTGGGAGTATGTAGGGAGAGGATCTAAGACAACCCCACTGATGGCTTTCTTCTGCTGGAACCACATCTGGTCCAGGTGAAACACATACCTCTCGCTCCACACCCTCGGGGAGTTCTGGCCACGCCCATCCACCCCTTCTCTCACGGCAAACATTTGAGCATCCAGCCAGCCATCTCACCTTCTAGATTTCTGAGGTATGGACCAGACACTTGTCCTCTGTGTCCTGAAAACTTCTTGGGACATATGTAGCAAACTATCTTTGAGTCCTTTGCCTAGGCTCATAGTAAGTGGTAGGCAACACTCCAACACCACCATTGGCAGGGAGGAACTCACCAGCACACCAAATTCTCCCCTAAAATACTCTTCTAATTGCCAATTCCCTTTTCTGGGAATGTCCAGCCCCACTTTGAAACTGAACATTTTGTTTCTGGTGCAAGACCTGCCAGAGCTCTCTTTTCTCTCTGCCATCAACTTTCTGTCACCAGTAACATTCCAGATGGTACCTGCTTCATCAGCCTAGGGCCTGGAGTGAGGATGATGATAACATGAACCAGAGCTCCCATTTGATT